TGGTAAACAAACAGCATAAAAAACATGCAAACCCAACTTTAAAATACACACGTATACAAAGCAATCCAATAAAAAAAATAAAATAATTACTATTTGATGAGCAAAAAGCCACAGAGAGGCATAGGTGGACTTCTAATGTGGAAATAGAAACAAACATGAGATGGGACCCATCTGGATCTCTGGTCCTCAAAATTTAGGATGTGTTTCAGTGTCATTTAAGTATGAAAAAATCATTGCCAGGCTCCAGCCAGAACCTCAGAGTGTTGTTACTTAGAAACGGCAAGGAGCTTATTAAGAAATATTTCAACACATGGTAATTTAATATTTGAATCCCCTTTGGAAAGTGGGAAATAAACAGCATAACAAAATGGTGGCAACCAAAAATAACAGCTGTAAAAAAAAACTGTCAGATGGAGGAGGAGGTGAAAAAAGCTCTGAATGACAACAGTTGCTCAAACTGAACAAAGAGGAGCTTCTCAGGAGTGACCACCTACAGTATGATTTATATCCATACAAAGGATTTGTATTGTGTTCCTAAGGCAACTCCAGTAACCACTGCAATAGCCAGGAACCACCACCGAAGCTTCCCTCCTGCTTAATACCTTCATTCCACTCTACTGTGCAAATGATTTTCACAAATATCTGTCAACCTGTGTTATTTAAAACCATTTCCCTCTTACAAGACCACTTACAGAGTCAAGATCAAAAAACGGGAAATGGATTTTAAGGAAATGAGCATAGTTCTCAGTTTATATCCCCGAACACGCAGTTTTCTCATTCCATTGTCCAGTTGTTTCAGTATCACAGAGTGACTTTGTCTCATAAATAAGTAATTGTCTGTACTCAAAAGAACAGCTGACTGAAGAGTATGTCAGCGTATCAATCTTTCAGTGACCACTGGAATAATGAGGTCTATTTAATTCAGTGCAGTTATTTGCATTATTCACAAGAATCTTGGAGAATATTATTTGCTCTGAATAGAAGACATTACTAACATCCAAGCTTGCTTCAAACCAAAACCACAGCAGTAAGCAGGTTTGTGTCTCAAACCAGAAAAGACCTGGCAGCCAGCTTCTGGTTTAACAACATCCACGTTGTTTGAGCAGAAAGAATCAGAACATCTCGCTGTTCAGATGAAACAAGAGCCCTGCACATGGCACAGCACACCTGCACTCCAGCCACGCACAACTAATGAGAAACACCACGTTGGGCTACACTGCATTGCTCGATGGAAATCCCATTGCTGAAACCCAAAAAGAAGTCATGTCCCATGCTGTTCTGTCAACAGACAGCACTGTTGGGAAGCCACTTCCATCTGCTAAGCTCTTCCACGTGCTGGGCTGCTGCTGTGCTCGTGCCAAGACACCGGGTGTACATCACAGGGCTGCATTGTGGAGCACAGGTACCGAGCCAGAATTTATCTTCCATCATGTTAACTCCCCACATTATAGCCAGCTCCTCTGGAGTGACAGGAAATAAATGGAGAGGCAGGCTGTGGGAATAAGACTCATATTTGAACCTGACCTCATTCCTTACTGTCATAAGATTGCCTGTTTAGTGCAGCCTTTTCAATGGCACAAGGATTCAGACTGGAAGCGCTAGAAAGCTTCGCTTTCCCTTTGCAAACTGACTTGGCTACAGCGTTTATAGGCTTTGCCTTGAAGGCTGCTCAGCCCCAACACAGGAGGCACTGCAGGGCCAGCACACAACATTGCCCTCCAATGCACACAACATTGATCTCACTTCAGCCTGTAAATACCTGACATCTGGCTGAGGCTCAAAGATGACTTGTGCAAATGCTTCATTCCTTCGTGCTTGGCGTACCTCAAACAGGAAGTTTACAGCAAAAGGGAAGAACACAACTTTATTTTTCCAACCAGGTGCTCATCTCCTATACATTGGAAAAAAACTGATCTAGGAAAAAAAAACAACCACCAACCATGCTGCTACAGGTGCCTACTATCAAAAAGCACAGCAGCCAACATCAGATCTATGGCAAAACAAGCCACCTGCTTGCTCAGTAGTCTCACAGATTTACAACCTGCAAACACTTAAAGCATTCAAGTTGCTGAAAGAGACCTCAGTGCTTCTTTAAAACCCAGAGATAATATTTGTGAATTCTTACAAAAAAAAAATTTTTGAAGAGCATCACCAGAAGAAAAACACAGATCCTGTGCTCTTCTGAAATACTTCACAGTACAGTCTGAACCTGTTTTTCCATCATCCCTCCCTCCTCCAGAAAAAAAAAAAAAAAAAGTGATTCCAGCTTAAGCTTGCAAGAGTATATCTAGGTATGATAGTAGAGTTGATACATGTAGAAGGTACAGCTGTGTTTGTTAAGGAGTGTTTTTCTTCACAGTTCCTGTGAATCCACACCACAGGGCAGAAGATGGGCATTCTGTCTTCATTCTAAGATACGGATGCATCTGAACGCAATGTATGCTTCCCTCGAGCAGTCAGGGCTTCCCCCTTCCAGTCATGCTTTTACAAACAGGAAATGAGATGAAAGAATTTTGTCCAACAGATATCATTATAAATTACTTTATTTAAGGTCCCAAATGCAAAGGATGTTATCAAGTTCACCTTTGTGTGATGTTTGCATGTAACATGCAGTCTAACAAGTGGGAGACAAAACTAAGCACTTGACAGCACCTTTTTCAAGAGCTATAACTGCAAGGAAACAAGTGTTTGACGTGACTTTTAAAGGCATTTTATTTTTATTTTTACTTTGAAGGAGCACCACTTAACATTTAATGAATATGTTTAAAAATAAAAATAAAAACAGAAAACAAAATTACTTCAATAGATAACTAAAGAGCAAGTTCCAAACTAAAGCAAATCAGACCTGTGGAAGGAAAGCGTATTGGTGAAGTTTAGTACCCTCAGACATCCTGTTGTTTGAGTTGTTTGGCACACACTGCCTCCTCTACAAAAATGAAATGCCCCTTCTCTTCCTTTTAAAATGACTGTAATTGAAGTACCTTTAATTTACTTCCTAAGGAGGAAATCTCAAATCAAGCCATTCTTCAGTGAAAGATACGAAGGCATTCAAATTCTGAAAACATAAAGATGTATTCTTCCTGCACAAACAATGCTTTAAAGATCAGTGAAAAGCTGAAGATAAAAACCAGAGATGAGGTAAAATGCTTGAAACGTGATCCTGGATCCCACAACAGAGCACTACTCTGCCAGGTGGGGGTAAACCTGTAAGCAGCCCTTGCAGGTACACAGAATCACAAAGCTCATCTTCCTTCACCTCATCTGTGTAGAACAGCAGAGAAGGCATTCGTGGTGCTGTGCCACAAACAGAAAGGGCAGGGAACGAGCCTTAATGACACACATTCAGCAGAACAAGCGCTGATGGAATCCTGTCTGCTACAAGCAGTGACAGTCAGCACTGTGCTACCTCTGATATGTCCAAATACTCATTTTAAAGAGCCATACAGCTTTAAACCTGTTCTATATTCACGCAGCCATAGCTGGATAATTAAGTCATTAAAGCCAGCTTCTGTTATAGCGTAACAGATGATAAATTAAAAACAAAGAAAAATAGTTGCAAAATATTTTCATCCTCTCAAGCAGATGGACTGCTAACGCTTCCAAAAATCCCAACGTCATCTTTCACTCTCTTAAATAAAAAGTCTTCCTTCCTAGCACGTAGTACTGAAAACTGAACTACTGCCAAGGGGCACTAAATGCACAGAGTCCAGTTTCAGCACGGCTTATTTGTTATTCTGGTCTGTTCCCACAGACAACCATTCACAGGTGCACAAACTCTCCCCACCCACATCAAGCCATTGTTTCAGGAGGCACCGCTGTGATATGAAAACAAGCAGGGGTGGTTCAGCCGTATGTTAAGATCTTGGGTGAGCAGTCAAAACCCTACAGACAAACGGTACGTTTGCTCCTTGACATCAGTCAATAGGGTACTACACCCAAGGTAACCTAACACGGAAGGAAAACAAGTAAAAAATAAAGGACTGTTTTACAGCGAATGCTCCAAGCTACTACTTTACAAGACGTCGCAAGCTGCTCCAGTGGAAGCAATCCAGGCTGGATGTGGCTCTGGGCAGCCTGGTTTGCTGGTTGGTGACCCTGCACATAGCAGGAGGTTGGAACTGGATGATCACTGTGGTCCTTTTCAGCCCAGGCCGTTCTATGATTCTATGATAAGCAATCCCTCTGCTGCTATACCCCCTCCCAACTTGTTTCCCTGGGATTTTTTTTTCCCCCCTGGAGAACTCTAAAAATAAACCTATAAATAAACCATACCCACATCAAGATAAAAGCACGGCCTTCAGTTAAGTGCATAACTTCCCACAGCACAAGGATTGCAGGACTCCTTAAAACACTCCCGTGGTTGTTGTTTGCTGTTTTTGTTTGTTTGTTTTTTTACATTACAGATAAGGACGAAGGGAAGAAAACACATTAAGGGTGTGCCACCCACCCCCGAACTGAGCAGCAGAGCGGTGCAGACGTGGAAAAGCTTTACTGTGCACAGTAACGCGGCCACAGGGGGTTCCGCTGCAGCCCCCTCAGTGTCAATTTGTCGCGATAGGGAAAGGGAGTGGGGGGAAAGAGGGGAGGGGGAGGGGCTGCGACAGCTCGGCGATACACCCATCCATCCCACGACCCTACCAAAGGGAAACGGGGAAGGCCGGTGCTGAGCGGAGGGGCCGCACACGCGGAGCCCCCCGGCCCGGAGCGAGGCGTCGCAGGGCGGGCAGAGCGCACGGCCCGGCTCCGGAGCCCCGCGGCCGCAGGAGGCGGAGGAGGAGGCGAGGCCCCGGCCGCCCCCCCTCGCTCGCTCGCTCGCTGCCCGCCTGAGAGCCCGCGGCCCCCCCGCCTCACGCCCCTCCCCGGAGCCGCCGCCTCGCGGCCCGGCTGCTCTGCCTGCGCTGTGAGGAACGGGAACGCTGAGAGAAGCGGGGCTCTACGCCCGGCCTGAGGCCCCCCGGGAGCTCGGCCCCAGCCGTCCGGCCGCGGGGCGCCGCGGTTACCGTGTGCGGTGCCGAATTCTCGTGGTGTTTGTCGGGCGGCTGCGATAATGGCGTCCTTCCTCGCGAGAGATCTCCGTCTCCTCAGCGCGCACGCGCCGCCGCGCTGCGCCCGCTCGGCCCCCGCCCGCCTCGAGCGCCCGCGCAGGCGCACAGAAGACGCGGCCTCGCAACCGCCCTTCACGGCCGCGCCGCTGGGAGAGACTATAACTCCCAGAGGGCAGCGCGACCGCGCTTGGGCGCCGCCTCCGCCGAGCAGGCCGGGACCTGTAGTACGATCGGCTGGAGCGGTGCACTCTGGGAGTTGTAGTCTGCACATAGCCGCGCACAGCCCACGCCATGTCCGCATCTCAGCATCAGTGTCGCTCCCGTACCGCTCGGCCCGTTCGCTGCTCTGAGAGCTCCACCGAGCCCCGCTCAGCGCCGTGAGGGGATTCCGGCGCTATCTCAGGGCTGTTCCAAATGGCAACGTCACATCTCTTTTTTTCTTATTGCTTTCCTGAGCGAAGCAGCTGTGGTGCTCTGTGAGTGAGCACGTTGAATGCTGTCAGCGCAGTCACGCTCTGCCTTCCCCTACTCCCTCCTATTACATCCCTGATTTAACAGATCCTGAGCACGTGTATCACTGAAATGGGATGATCTGAATGCGAGCTGTCGCATTAAGGAGAAAAAATGTCACCCTGCACAGACAGCAAGTGGGAATGGGCTAAAATAGCTCTCCAGAGCGATTCCTCTGTTGCCTGCTCCTGATGTGAGCACAGAATGGAGGAAGAGTGCAAGCTCTTCAAGAAGAAAATATATTATCATAATATTGTCACCAGATGTCATTTCTCAGCCTCAGCACAGCCAGCAGTGGCTTTCACGCTTCAAACAAGCAGCTCAAATCTACTCCGCGTTGTCACAGTATGGGATTGAATGCATTCTGATACGCCAGCACCTACAGACCTACGGCCAGATGGTTTGGAGTCACTGCTGTAACTGCTGGGTCAAAACGCTGCTCTCAGGCCCCGTAAGCTCATGGTGTTCCATCTTGAGGTGTCTTCTGCACGACTTCTGTATCTGTGTGAACGCAGACGGTGCAAGCCACAAAAGCTCCGGTTTCCTAAAGTGTTTCAGACCCCAGGGAAGCAGCAGTTCCTCCTGCTCGGCTGTCTGGGAGCTACGGGGAGAATCAGAACAGAACCCATTTGTTTTGCCTTTCAAACAGGGAAATTTATGCTGATGAGGCACCTGCACTGTGCCTTTCTTTGGAAGTGATGATAGTACTCACTTCTTAAACGGACACTTTCAGTGTTAAAGAGTCATTAGAAGCCTGGAAATTAACAATTGGTACTTCCAAAAAGCCTTGCTTCTGCTTCCAGATTTGTAAATGCTCAGCTGAGTCCATGGATTTATTTAGCGTGTTCTTTTCTTTCACAAGCAGATTAGGAAGTTCAGAGGTTAAACTGCTTATAAACTGACTTTTCACATAGGATTATTTCATGCTTTGCTGCACAGAGTTGCCCTGTACCAGACTTGGCAAACTCAAGCAACCATTCCATCCCTGTTAGAAAAACAATGGTATAAATAAATACCAGTGCAGTAACTGCTGTGTAGAGCTGCCAATAAAATCCTTTGCTATCAAAACCTAAATCCATCCTAACAGCCCTCCTGTTTTCTCATCAGTGCATTCCCTCCCAGAGATTATTAACTCAGGTTCTGCTGAGGAGGTGAGGTCCTGCTCCCCTCTGCAAAGCCAGTAAATCACTTTTCAGCTAGAACAACACATCAACGTATTATTCACCTGCAGCCATCAAAGTAACGGTAGGAAATTACAGCAGGATCCAGCTGATGTCTACATCTTTGATTAGAAATAGCAACACAATAAAAGTAAGACAGCAACTTGGCACCTTGTCAGTGCTTAAATCAGGACCAATTTTGGCTTTTAGTCTTTATTTACAGCATGAACCACTTAACAAGGATAAGCAGGTGTTTCCCGTGCTTCACAAAATCCCCTCAGCCTTTATGAGCTTTCAAAAGTGTGCTCATCTGAATGTTTGTGCAATGATGTATTGAAATGCAGTGTATGTCCTCTTTTAGCAAACGAGGGCTTTACTTTACCGTGAGGTAAGAGACTGCCCATAAACCAGCACCAGGAAGAAGCAGATACGCCGTTCTGTCCCATGTTTAACCCACTGTAACTTGTTTGAGTGCCTGTGTTAAATCAGCTCATGTTCCAGTCAACCCCTCTTCCCATAAAAATGAATAAAAACATCAGGGTGCTAATATATCATTCTTATTTTTTAATTTTATAGAAGAAAATACCTCTCGCTGCCTTTTCCTCCCAAATGAAATAAGCTAGATATTTCCTCATTGTTTTAATTCCTCACCTTTTCATCCTTATTTTTCAGACTCTCTCTTGTACATGTATGCTAAATTTTCTCTGTCTCATTATGAAAAATCATGTTTCCAGGAAATATCTGGCTTATTTTACCTTCATATCAGCATTCACTTGCTATTGTTTCCCAAGGAAGTTGCTGCTTTTAGATGTTTTTTTTTTGTGTAGATCAAAAAAAGATTGGTATCTCGTTCATTGGTTTCTTTTTCTTTTCATTAGAAGAAAAACCTTACCATAGGGTCAGAGGTAAAAAATTAACACACTGTGCACACAATTTTGCAGCTGCATAAGCAGTAGGAAAACAAAGGTTGCCAAACAAAGCATTTGTTTAAACAAGTGACTGGCATTCATAATTACGTTCAGTGCTGAGCATGAGTGTGGAAACAAAGGCGAGAAGAGCACAGAAGATGTGATCAGGGCAGAGATGTAGTCACAGAGCACTTGAAAGTGGAACTTGGTTATATACTATGCTATTAAAAAAAAAAAAAAAATACTTGAAAATCTCCTATTTATTAAGTTTCTGAGTTACTTTATTCATTTTCTGTATATTAATTCTCATCACTGGAGAGGAACAGAAATGTCCTTCTGAGCACAGCATGCCCTCTCCTGTGACATGGTGGTACTTCAGGTGATATGAATTAATATAGAAGAATTTGCATAAATTGCATTTTTTTAAGCCCAATTAATACTAATGGCATTCGTAAACCTGCTGTAGTATTTCTCTTTATTGATAGGAAACCTCTCTGCTGTTGAAGCTTGGAATCAGCCCTCCTCTTCCAACCACACGCTTCTCATCACTGATCTTCAGATAGCATGTCTATTTTCGGTTATTTCTTTGATTTTATTTTTATTTTTTTACAAAACCCAGGTTGGGATTTGGAGGCTCCTGAACCTACATCAGCTAGCTCTGTGACTTTGGGCAAGACACTGACTTTTCCTGTTTTGATTCTGATCTTGCTTCTGTTCTAAGTACACCACGTTTCATTTGCTGAATATATGCCCAATTTTCGTGAACGAGGAATGAAGAAAAGACCTTGAATGCCCAAAGCAGAGAGAAAAAGTGTTGCACGTTTGGCCACAGTTCACGGTCTCGTAAGGACATCTGTGCTAAGCAGAGAAATGAGGTGAGAAGGGAAAGGCTTGATCTCTGTGCTCTCTGACTTATGTACATACTGCTCGATTTCCATGTATGCATCATGGAAAAAATAATAGGAATCTATTCCCTTTCTTAGAAATATGTAATTCTAAAAAGCTCTATCAGAACTTTGCCCTTCAGTGACCTTCCCAGCTGCGCCTGCTGCCCTTTTACCTGTTACACAGCTGATAGCTTTGCCCAGTATTTGCTAGTTTGCTAGCTTTGCTCAGCTTTGCTACAGCCCGTGTTTATTTGGTCAGGTACATTATCATCACCAGTCTTTTTTTACTCCACTGGCATTATCAAAATCTTAAAGGCAAGCTCGTCATACAGAACGTTATTAGAGGATTTCTATCCTTTCCATTAGACTGAAGGTTACCTGAGAATCCTGTTTGTTTACTCTGCAGTCCTCAGCTCCATACAGTTCTTTCAGATCTCCAGGCAGAAAACGTTTCATAGCATCAATGTGCCATTAATGTTATTATTCTAAGCCAAATGTGTCCACCTCCTATTCCTGGACCTGAATTTGTGTTAAAGTCTTTGCAACGTAACCCCACTTTTTCAGCTGTGAGAGGTAAAACAAATTATGTGACTATTCCCTCCCACTCAGCACCTGTCAGGATACACCTGGAATACTCTGCCAATCTGGAGTCCCACGATGCAAGAAAAACTGGAGGTTGTTACAGTGGGCTGGAAAGATCAGCCACATTAACAGAATTACAGCCAATTCTGGATGTGGAAGAAGAGCTTTCTGTGGGCTGAAGTAATGTGTGAGCCACAAGAAATGTGTGCCAATCCACAGAGAAATGAGTGTTAAAGCCAACAGAGTAATGGTCTGCTGCTGTGTGAACGCTGCCTAGGTGATATTTTTAGGTGTCTGTTGAGGTTTTGCACAGACACCTCAGCAGCAGTGCCAGTCTAGGTAGCTTCCATTTGTTCTATACTGTCAGCTGTTATAATACAAGAACTAGCTGAGGAAAATGTTAATTATGTGATTGCTTTAATTATACCTTCCTAGCTATAGTAAAATTGTAAGACTATCTTTTCTCTGAATTGTTGGGCTTGGCTTGCCAGTGTTATAATTAAAACAACGTAACACAGGAACACCTTTGTAAGCATAATGCCAGGAGAAACAGAGCTCATGAAGGTGAAATAGCAGAGTGGGAAATGAAGGTTTTGTTTCCTTTATCTTCCCTGAAGTCTGAATTCCAAATGGTGCAGAGACAGCATGCTGGATGTAAAGATAAATATATTTTAATATTTCTCCTTTGGGCAGTGCAAAAAAACAAGAATGGAAAGACTGAAACTCTAGCAGAACATCCTATGCGTGTTTTCCTTCACAACATTCACATACTCACCTCTGATTATGCTCTGTCCTGTTCAGGTTCTGCACTTCAGCCAGAAGCACCACATTTCTCCCCACTGGTTTAGCCTTCATATTTATGGTCCTAAAGCAACACGTTTTTGCTCCCTGCTAGCTGCGAATTGAGCATGGGACTTCACAGAAGTTGCTGTAAATAAGAAAGTTCAGACAGCACATGGGAAGCTTATCTTTTGGGGGGGGGAAAAAAAAAAAGGAATGTTGATTCAGAATGATTTGAATAGTTTTTCAATGGAATTAAAATGTTGATAAGGTTGCACAGAATTAAACGTGTGCAGGATGTAATATTGGCAACCCTCTAGGAAACATCAGAAAGAAAACAGGGATCGATCCTCTCTGTCCAGTATGGAGGCACTTAGAGCTGAAGTCAGCGATAGCAAGAAATCCCTAGATTTTTACTTTTCCAGTTTCTGGGAAGACTAAGTAACCACGCTTTTCTTGTATCCAGTCGTACTCCACTTATGTGATTATCCATAATTAAGAACAAAAATAGAAGCCTGATTTGGAAGTTTTTCTGTTGGCAGAACCCCTGGCTGACAATGACTTGCTGACACTTCAAAGCAGGCAGCTGAGGTAATAAACGACAAGCATTAAGAAAAACCCTCCTAAATAGCTGATTTTGGATGAATAAATGGCACAGATAAGCCTGCTGCTTTAGGATACTAAAGAGGATTCCCCAAGCCTTGCGCTTACACGCTGCAGTAAAAGATGACAGATATACATGCGCTTAATGAAAATAACACCAAATAAATTTGTTTCTAATATAAAATGCCACAAGTAGAGACAAGAACTACATGTTGTCAGGACTCTGAGGCCAATATCAAGTCCTGATCACCTTAAGGAGGTTCACCTGGAGCTTCCACCATGCTCCTCCCATGGCCTAGGAGCCCATTTAAGCTCAACATTGAGCTCTTTGAGCTTTGTTTTCAGGGTGCTTATTTTTAGGTTTGCCTTTAGCCCTGTCAATAAGAAGAACTTTGGACCCATGTTGTTGCTTGGCTTTGGCCCTGTCTCTTTTTATTCCTGACCAAGCTCCCTGCTTGGACCTTGGACCTGGTGTTCTGCTTGTTGTGTTTTGAGCTTGTAGTGGACCTTCAGTGCCAGCTCTGCTCAGTGTCTGCAGGATGGAACCCTGCTGGTGAGGATCTCAATGGTGCTGGGCTCCCCACTCCTCTGCCCTTGGTGAGAGCTGCCTCTTGTCCCCTGACATGCCTAGGCACCCACTTCAGATGTCTTTCCATCTGATCACCACGGAGCTGGTAATAGCCTGCAATGCTGTGAAAAGCCTTTGGAGAATGAGTTGTTTGGTTTGAATGGGAAAATCCAACTCTAACTGAGAAGCTGCTTGCAAGGGGTTGCAGCTGTGCTAGCAAGAGCAATACAATGACAGACACATCCCAAAGAAAGCAAAAGGGAGGTCATAATACATAGATCTCTCGTATCAGGAAACAAAAGGTGTTGCAATTGCATGTAGAAATAAAGGAGTAGCTCTCCTCATGCTTTCATCCCTAAGAAACATCCCTAAGATCCCTGTTGTCCCCACTGGAAAAGTGGTTCAGCTTGACTAAAGTGATGTTTGAGTGATGTTCCATAGGTCTGTTCTTAGTCCTATGTCTACATGAAATGATCTGTCTTATGAGGCCCCTTACAGTTCAGAAGAACAAATTCTCCACCTTGGGTTTGCCACAATACTGTATTATGTGCTCAGAGTTGAAATCTTTTTCTGCAGGAATCTGCTCCATCTCCTGCTCTGAGCAAACCTCATCTATCTGCAAAGTTCTGTGAATTCCTCAGCTTGGGCAGTCATCACTCCTCAGAATCACAACTGTCAATAACAACAATGGTTAGTTATCACTATTCAAAGAATGCACACTTGAAGAAATGATAAGAAACCTCTTCTTGCATATGAAAGAGTGGTTTCTGTAACCCCTCAGTGTTCTTGGAGCCACATGAGAGAAAGCTTGAAAAGCACACAAATAATCATCAACTAGCCCTGCCTACAATGAAATTAGAGCCAATGAGAAAAGCCAGAAGAGGGACAAGTTGAAAATTAACTATTTGGTTAGTGCTCTCTCCAGCCAAGAAAGGGTGCTCTCAATCTTCTTTTTTATAATAGGTCTGGAGATTCCTTGAAGCTGTTATGCCCAGAGCATTTTTTTTTTCTCTTTTCACATTGATAGGTTGGTAGATTCTGGAAAGTTCCTCGGGCTGTGTGACCAACAGAAGATTTTGAGTGCTAAGGAGATAATGATGAATAGCATAAAGACAAATAGCCTGGGACGTTTATTCAAGCAGTTGAAAACTGTCTGGAGTTCGCCTTCAGTGCCAGCACGAAGCTGCAGCTTGGCCAATTGCACTCCCAAAAACAGGAACGATGCATGTAAGTATTTCATGTCATTAAAACAGTGCTGCATGCCTGCATGTGGTGGTGCAAAGATTGCAGACGTAGCTGATGCTCTTATTTGCTGGCTATCAAAAAAAACTAATTTTTTAGAATGTCATTGAAAGGTTAAGGAAAGAAGCAAATAGGAGTGATACTAATACAGAAATACTTTGCCAAACTGCCTGATTGCTTTCCATGTGCTGAATTCTGCTCTAGCAGTGTTAGTGGGTTGTTTGTGATTTTAACTTGTAACTAAAATGAAGATACAGACTTCACAATAATTAACTTTGCCACGCAAGGCTTTAACTAGTTACAATAAAATCTGGATTTACACAAAGGATTCAAAATGGCTTTGAATTTAATAGACACTGCAATGTTAGATGTTGAAAATGAGGCCTAGTAGAAATACTAACCACAAAGCCTGCGTATAGCAGATCTATAGTGAATGACTTCCTTGGGTGCAATATAAACATAACTGACAATGCCAAAGATTTAGTTGTTTAAAATGATGATAAACTTATCTAAGTCGGAGTTGTATTGAGGCCAGGCAGAGATTGCCTGCTTGCTCAAGTGAATGTAATCGGAACAATAGTAAAGAATAACTTTTTACATCTACCAAATCCCTTTGTTTCCAGTATTTTTTTTGTCTGTAAACGTATTTAGCTTATTAATTTTTCTCCAGTTGTATCTCTCCTTGAAAACCACGATGTGATTCTCATCTATTTTTTTTAATGACTTGGAATTGTTTGGTGGAGTCAGAAGGCAAAGCACAGAAAGGCTGAGATCTGAGATGTGTGAATTGTTTGGGGGTTATCCACGGTCCATAGGAACCCAACAGGGAGCTAGATGATGCCATGTTTTTTCCTGTGGGCACTTGTCCATTGGAAGCTGCACTGAGAAACCAGGACTCACTTCATGTTAACAGACATTCTTGGAAGAGATCATATGAGGCTGTTTCATCCCAAGGCCACTCTGCTATTAAACTAACTGCAGATACTATCTGGCTTTGCTCACGTTCCTCTTCAGTTTAAGACAGATGCTATTTATTACTGAAATCTTTCTCTATTCCATGACATCCATGCAGGAAATGCCAAAACAAACTGATTCAGAAAAATACCATCTTTGGAATGGTTGGTTTTGGCTGCCAGGGAATAGACATTAGCTCTGAGAAAGCCAGCCTGTGTGTTTCTCCATCTGGTGGCTAGACCACATACATAACATGCATTGAAAGCAAAATGCACATTCAATTAAACTCTGCTATGTACAGATAATAGCACAAGCAGCCAGATCAGCTACAAGGACTTGATCAAAGCAATGGCCCATATTTTGAAGCTTGGCAAACACTAGACTATTTAGTACTGTCTTCAATGTAAAGTTGATCTTTCCCATTTCACTGTTATCCTGAAGTTCATCTTTTACTTTTCCCTTGGTAGCATTCCCATTCACAGAAGCAATCTCTTGCCAAGCTAGGTGGTGATGCTCAGACTTTAGCTATGATAACACAGATTCAACCATTCAAAGACTGATGCTTCCCAGTGCCTTCTTCTGGATTCCCATTGTGACCTCCCAAAATTACAAACAGAATTCCTGCATTTCACTGAGGAAGCAATGTAGAAAGAATTCTGAGGACAACAGGACATGTGTCAGAATATCTAGTGACACGAAGTACTATAGTGGCTGCCTGTAGTAATCTCTGTGTATCTTCCAACCATACATACAACTAAAGGGTTCCAGGCACCTTCTCATGCAATAAAGGATTTGCTTCATCCTAATAATTACTGCCAAAACAACAACAACAACAACAACAAAACTGAAGGATGTTTTTCTTTCTGACTCTTTGAGAAGGTAAAAAGTTCTATTTGAAATGATTGTCCAAATACAGCAATGACACACGATCCAGGTGTGCCATCTCCAGGACAGCACACACTACTGCAGTAACTGTACACAAACTGTCCATGAGACAGATTAAGTCCTCCCCATACAGCATTGCTAAACCAGTGTGCATAATTTTAGCAAATGTTTTTATACAGGAAAGATAAAGCCCCTATTTACTTTACCTTGCCAACTGAAATTACCTTCTTATCTGGACTTAGCCTCAGCCATTGCCTTCTCATCCAGGCTCCTATCTCTGCCAAACATTCTGGAAGCAGAGAAAAAAGCTCAGCGTTTCACAATCTGCTGCTGCTTTCCTGTTGAGCTTAAGAGTACTCTGTCAGTTGCATCCGTTTGATAAAAAGCATTGGGCTGTTTATCAATAAACTGGCCTACATCACAGTCCAACTCTGACATCAATTCAGCAGAACTTTCAACACCTTGTCACAATGGACCATAGCCAACCAGCGCCGTTATCATCCAAAATCTTGATTCATACTAAAAACCTCAAAGAAATCAACCTATCTTGGCTTTCCTCTCTAACATTCAATCCAAGTGGCTGAAGCAGAGCCACAGTCCTTTAAAGTTTATATGTTTATTTTTCTAATTCCGAATGTGTTGCTATGGAAAGCACAATGTAAGAAAAAAAAAAACATATTTCTTTCAAATGGGTGCGGTTTCCTATCTGCTCCCACAGCCCTGTCCTCCTTGTTTTACTTCAGAGCAGGGTGAAGCTTGTTCAAAAGGTCCTATGAAAACAAAGGGCTTTGTTCAACAGGCCTTTTATTTTAATTTTTGAAGTTTAAAACCATAAATAATAAAGCCCACTGAAGCTGACACTTACTTGCGGTTGGACGTGATGATCTTGAAGGTTTTTTCCAACCTGAGCAATTCTATGATTCTGTGATTCCTCATTTTTATTTGACAACCTTCCAAACTAATTTTTGTCTACTTTCTTCTGATTTTCTATCCCTTATATGGCAACTTTTAGCCCCTCATCCCCCGGAATACTTAATACTTGAACTCTTTGAAAGGGTAGATAGCAGGACAAGGGGAAATGGTTTGAAGTTGAAGGAAGAAAGATTTAGGTTGGATGTCAGGGGGAAGTTCTTTACAGAGAGAGTGGTGGGGTGCTGGAACAGCTGCCCAGAGAAGCTGTGGGTGCCCCGTCCGTCCCTGGAGGTGTTCAAGGCCAGGCTGGATGGGGCCCTGGGCAGCCTGGGCTGCTATGAAATGTGGAGGTTGGCAGCCCTGCATGCAGGGAGGGTTGGAGCTTCATGATCCTCGAGGTCCCTTCCAAGCCAAGTCATTCTATGATTCCATGATTAAGGGGATTTCAGGGAACTGTAAGCTATTCTACATTTGGCAAACCATGAAAAAAGTTTTGTCTCTTTAAATCAAGCTTACATTAGTGCAAACTGACAGTGAACCCTTTCTTTTAACTGAACTGATTCTGGATTAATTTTTACCACACAACTGTTGCTTTCATGATGTTTTCTTGGAAATTGTTATAAATAACAAACAACACATTAGTATAAGCAACCTGTATTTGAGTTTGGATCTTTACTCGCACCCTGAATCTCCTAATGATACATCAGCGCTAATTGAACTTTCTAACAATTAGTCCAAATGGATCTGTTGAAGCTGAATCCATAGCTGCAATGAATTACAGAGAACAGCTTGAAGGTGCCCTTCTATCCACCTCAATTGGGAAAAAAGAGCAGTGCCTCCAAACGCTATGAAACTAAATGAAGCACCGCTGTGTCTGTCTGGAAAATTCTAAAGAAAACAAAATACAAATTATTTCTAATGGGTCTTTCTCCATGGGTAACTTGCAAGATGTCATCGCTGTTCTATTACAGCATTTACCATAACTGTTCTGACAGTACCATGGATCTGCCCATAACAAAGGAAAAAATAATAAACTGGACCCATCCTCAGCGATCATAAATGAGGTCAGTGTGCAGACTGCACGGTAACTTGATTCTCACAGTATCTCTTAATTGGCCCATTTGAAAACTGGTCTGTTAAGTAAGGTTTTTATTTGCTTCCCACGTTGGTTCTGTATCTCTTTCAGTTACCCCATAGGCCAGTTGCCAGGTTCCTAGACAAGTTCTTAGTCAGAAAGCACAGTCAGTTCAGGAACAGCAGAGGGTGTAACTGAGACCCTTTAGATGTTCCAGAAAGGTCATAATATCAAAAAACATAGGAACCAAGCTATTGCAGTTCTCATGGCTGTCATTCTCTCCAGGTTGCTGCATGAGAGCTGTCTGGAGATATGAGCATGGAGAAGTTCTGTTTCTCAGATGGTCCAGAAAGGAATGATTTGGGCCATTCTTCTGAATGCTGGGAGCAAAGTTTAGGGCTTATGTTTCTTTTTGCAGCTAGTTCTTGTGTTTTTCTGCAGTTTCCAAAGCAAAGCAAAGCAGCACCTTGAGATGGAAAAGGGTTTTTTGTAATGAAAGGCTCAAAAGCTTTAGCAAAATGCATGTTCAGTAAGAAATAGCATGTGCATGTAAGATGGATGCGCGTTCTGTGAATGATTCAGAAGGGAAACGAAAGTGTTGTGGGGCAAAGTCATTTCCCTGCAGCTTTGCAGCTGAACAGCCAGTTGTTTCCACAAGCCTACGCTGTAAGAATTTCTCTCTGGTTGTGGTTCAGCCCTCAAGAACTGACTCACTCTATTCAGTTTAGTAGCTCTATATTAGGCTTTTAGAGATCCTTGCAGGATCAAATCCCTAAAAGGCTTTGACAAAGTTTGGTCATCTTCATGCTTCTCAGTGTAAAGACGACTCAGTGGAGTTGGGAGGCTTATTTTTCACTTAGAAGTGGGCATGCAGGGCTGCCAACCTCCATATTTCATAGCAGCCCAGGCTGCCCAGGGCCCCATCCAACCTGGCCCTGAACACCTCCAGGGATGGACGGGGCATCCACAGCCTCTCTGGGCAGCTGTTCCAGCACCTCACCGCTCTTATAGCAAAGAACTTCTCCCTAATATCCAACCTGAACCTTCCCTCCTTCAACCTGAAACCATTTCCCCCTGTCCTGCCATTATCTTACCCTTCCAAAAAGCAAGAACTCAAGGCAAGCATTCACTGCATTTACAATTGAATCCCAGCACCAAAATAAATGACTGCACTTAAAGGAAGGCGTATTGAGGGGAGGGGAAGTAAAAGGAGATTCGGGTGTAATAAATCCTGACATCCATATGCGATCCCATGCTGACCCATCCCGTGGCTGTGCAGTCAGTGGAAGCAAACGGCTCTGCACATCTCAGCTCAGGAGCCTTCAAGTCATGACTGGAGATTCGTGATCCTTGAGGTCCCTTCTGTGATTCTGTGATGAGACATTGTGGGTGCAACGATGTAAACGGGAGCTGGGTATCTGAGGTGATACCGAGCGTGAATCAGCCCGAAACGGACAAGAAACAGTCGGAGGGAGACGTCCCTTCACGCGGAGAGGCGGCTGGGAGCGCAGCACCGCCCTCAGCTCTCCCGCCCCTCGGAGCGCCATGGCGGCGGGCGGGGCGCTGTGGGGAGCGGCGGGGCGCTGCGCGATGCTCCCGCTGCTGCGCCGGGCCGCGGCCGCTGCCTCATGGCGGGGAAAGCGGCGGTGCAGCCTGGGCGCCTGCTGCTCGTACCGCCTGCGGAACGCCCGTGAGTGCCGCTGTGGGGCGGTGGGTTTGGAGGTTTTTGTAGTGAGGGGAGGCACTTCTACACAGAGCTCCTGCCCGGGGGGGGGGGGCTCAGCCTGCGGCTGCTGGTATCGGGCAGGGCTGTGCGGAGGTGCTGGCAAGGCTACAAAGCGGAGCTACCTTAAAATCCATTTAGAAAACGATTTTCTGACGGTCAGGAGGGGCGGTTTCTTTGATGAAGTGCGGAGGAGCTTCCCCGCAGCCGTGAGTCAGGCAGCTCTGACTCATACAAGTGGAATTCTTTGCGTGCCGTCTTGTTTTTGTTTATTATCGCGACGGACAGTTTTACTTCCCTGCGCACCTGCTGACTGAGGTTATCCAATATTTCAATTCACCAGTCGTCGTCGTAAAGTTCTAAAGTCGTTAGTCTGTAATTAGTTCTGTAATTGTGCATCGGAGCCAAACTCCTCTCCGTTGCCTTCCAGTGCATCCGCTTTGGCAGAGCCCGCTTACAATTCCGGGGGGCAGCCGGCAGTCTCCGATCAACATCCAGTGGAGAGACAGCGTCTACGACCCGGTCCTGAAGCCTCTGCAGATCAGCTATGACCCAACAACGTGTCTTCACATCTGGAACAACGGGTATTCGTTCCTGGTGGAGTTTGATGATTCTGCTGATAAATCGAGTAAGCGAAGCTGGGAAAGTAAACAGCAAAGGTGTTTGCGAGGGTGGATGGTGACAGGACAAGGGAATGGTTTCAAACTGAGACAGGGGAGTTTAGGTTGGATATGAGGAGGAAGTTTTTCAGCCAGAGGGTGGTGAGGCACTGGAACAGGTTGCCCAAGGAGGCTGTGGATGCCCCATCCCTGCAGGCATTCAAGGCCAGGCTGGATGTGGCTCTGGGCAGCCTGGGCTGCTGGTTGGCGACCTGCACACAGCAGGGGGTTGGAACTCAATGATCTTTGAGGTCCTTTTCAACCCAGGCCATTCTAGGATTCTATGAAAGATCTACTTTGTATGCTGTGAAAGGCTCGTGTTGAATAACAGTGTAAACGTTGAAAAGGAGTACATGGTAAATGCTTCATCTGAACACTGATTTTCAGTGGTGGGAATTGTAGTTACAGAAGTTATATCTGGGACTCACTGTTACCCCTTCTACCATTAACGTGACCATCGTACGCATCTTCTTTGTTGTAGGGTGAGACTTATTTTTGCTGCCAAAGCCTTAATGCCCTGCCTTTTCATAAGGTCTTGTAATAGTACAGCTTTGCTCATGTGGGTCAACCTTCAGTCATATGTGGATGTATCTAATTACTTTTAAATAAGGTTTTGTCATTAAACTTTAATAATCTACTGCTTCTCTTTTGCAACGTAAACATATATTTAATGCATTTGGAGTAATCAGTGGCAAAACTACTTTCAGTTGGAAAGCATACATACCCTAGTGGAAATGCTAAGTCACAGCTTGAAGCAGTGATTGAACACCTGCTGGGAAGGCAGGGCCAGCCCAGGGGAGCTCAGGTGTGTGCAGTGTGCCTGAGTGATGGAAGGGCAGGAGCCAGGATCCACCCCTTCCCAACCCTCATTTAAGGGTTGGCAGTGGAGGTGAGGATATCTCTCTAGAGATCTCTGTGTACCTGGGGCCTCCCAAGGGTAAGCAGCTTCTTTTCTTTGTTTCTGTGTTTGTGGCTGTTGCGTTTGGGTTTATCCTCACCTGTTGCAGCCTAGGACTTTGCCACCTTGCTATTATTGCTGTGCTTCCCATTGCGTTATAGTGTTACACAAACTTATCTCAATATGCTTTTAAGGAATTAAATTATACTGAGCTGCTACCATATGGAGCAGGTGCTTGTGTTCCTTTTGTTTTAATATAAGCAGGAGGCTGCATGAAGAATCCAATTAAGCATTCCAGTAATTTGTTAGGAAGGAACACTCAGACCTGAGCAGCTAATTTTTTTTTCTTATGCTCAGTAGAGTTAAGTGATTTAAAATCAAGAGATTGCTACCAAATTACAGACTTCCTGTTGATCGTTCCTTCTGAAAATTCAGTTTACTGAAGTATATTGTTATTTAAAAAGGATATTCCATCAGGGTAGGTGAGCTGGTGGTGGTTGGTCAGGGATGCTGAGAAACATGTGATTCATGTCAGTTATTCAGCTTGTTTTAGAGGGGGACACAGAGGGACCCTGGGCAAATCTGGACCTGCTGGATTCGAGGCATTAATCCTTGAGGTGACTGCTTGCTATGAGAAATTCTGGAACTTTTTAAAGGATTTCACAGCATTCCTGGGAATGAAGCGTTTTTGCTTGATATCTGGAAGGAGGCTGATAAACAATGTGGGTGGTTTGGTTGTTTTTTACTGTTTACAGCTGTTCACCTAGGAAACATTCTTGCCCTTGTTTGTTTCAGGGCATGTAGGTTTGTTTGCTTTTATTCTTTAGAGCTGTTCACCCAGGAAATGGTCTTGCCCTTGTTCCTTTCAAGGCTTTGCTATATGATAAATAAACCACCTGTTTTTACAGTACAGACTGCAATCTCATTAATGAGAAGAGAGCTTATGATGGAGACCCTCTAACAAGCTCATTGGTGATTTTAGCCCACTGATTTTAGTGGTGTTTTGCTTTTATTTCTTTCATTTACGTAGAGGCATGCATGAGATGGAAACAGTCAATTAAAGGGGTGCTGGCCTTTCTGAGGCTGAGCATTCACAGAGCATCACAGCTCTCAAAGATCTCTTCTGTTTCATTTCCGAGATTGAAAGCTTGAGGTAAATCTTTGTGAGCTTTCTTACTGCCTTTCTCCAGATGACTGCCTTTTCATCTTCATCATCTTCCTTGAATTAAAGTCAGTTAAAAGTGATGGTGGCTGTTGGAGGGTAGCATTCAGTGATGGAACTCCGTAATGATTGACAAACAACATTCATGGGGTGGTGTTGTATGCATGGTCTGATTTCCAAGTGCCTGCATCTCTCACCTGACTTTCTCTTTACTGTTGTTGTTTCTCATTTGTCTTCTTTCTGCAAGCTTATGTCTAACAGTGATTGTAGTCCAGAGAAGGAAGGTTTTGAATAAATAAATCTAGAAGACAACACAAAAATTGAAATGGAATTTCTAGGTGTGCATCCAGGATAGGCAAAAAAAAGCCCAGCTCCTGAAATGAGGCAAAAAAAGGCTTTGGCAAAAGGTGAAGGTAGTGCTGCAGTGGGGTGTTGGCTTTTGAGCGGAGGAGGATGAAGAAGAGGATATGGGGAAGGTAGGTACAGAACGTGGTTCTGTCTGCATGCATGAATGCCATCCACTGCAAACAAATGAGATGGCTGATATGATTCTTCCCTTTGCTGTTAGTCTCTTGTAACTTACAGTTTACTTTGCAATTATCAAAACTGGTAAATTCAGAGGAGATAGAACATGAAACTGCTTATAAAGGAGGGGTTGTAAGGCTCTGTTTCTTTCTTGCCACTTTCTTCTGTCTGCTGGTTTTCTACATGTGTGCTTGTTCCTAACTTGTGAGCAAACATTCAATCAAGAGTGATTATTCACATTGTAATTAGTTGTGGCTTCGTATTTTTGTGTGGTCAGGAATGAGTACAGAAGTACTGCATTGGCAGTGCAGGCCTTGCCTTCACCCCATCCCTGAAACTTATTGTATTTCATCATGATTTTCTTAATGATGGCCAGTTTTGTATTCATCCTAATTGCTCAGCAGCTGTGGGTGAAATTAAATTTAATGTCAGTATGCATTGTTTGTTTTATCTCATCTCTGCTTGTAATGAAAGAGCTGTTAGTTAGAACTAAAAAACTTTTGATAAGCTTTCAATCTCTCTCATTTCTGCTTAGCATTAAACTGATTAACTTCTTTCCAGAAGTAGTGTTGGATTTTGTAGTTTATATGGTGGCTTGCTGTAAAATTGAAGCATGCTGTACAGTTAAGTAGAAAATGGGCAGAGTGGTCTCTACAGCAATGCATTTGTTATTAGCCCCCCTGGAAGTAATTACGGTCTATAACTTTAAGCTGCCCTGATGTAATACCAAGTAGAAAAGCATTGCAAGATATTCCTGGTTCATTTAGGTTGAAGTGAATGAAAACCAGCATACACAGAAATCCAAGCCTCAAGTTTTCATTGATGTATTTACCAAATCGAGGTTGGCTTTCTGAGATCAGGACAGCAGGCTGAATGTTCACCTTTACTTTGTGGCTCCCAGAAGCAGAGAGTTTCCCACAGGCAGTCTGCTTTTGTGTGCCTTGTAGGGCAGAAAGGAGTTGCATGAAGACACTATTCAACTTAGCTTTGATTTGACAAAGGTTATTTCGGACTGCAGGGGAAAAGCAGTGATGTGTGAGGACAGTTTTATCCTAACAATGCGGTATGTAGAGGTAACCAAGGGATAAGGGGATGTTTCAGCAAGATACTCGATCCAAGTGACTTTTCTTTGGGTAAATTTGTGCTGCTTGTCTGGACAATTCCAAACCATGCTTGTTAAGGTGGATGTCTTGTTTTGTTTGTTTTTTTTTTAGTCATTGTTGGAGGTCCCTTAGAAAACCAGTACAGATTGAAGCAGTTCCACTTCCACTGGGGAGCCATCAACGAATGGGGATCAGAACACACAGTTGACAGTAAATTCTACCCAGCAGAGGTATGAGGAAAAGCCTGAACAGTGCAGATAACAGAGGCTGCATCTTGGGCTGTCTGTGTGAACTGTCAAGCTGCTAGAAAGTGCTGTTTTTGTTTAAAAAAAAAAAAAAAAAGGCAGCTTGTTTATGAGTAAGTTCATATTGACTGTATTATCTGAAGGAGGATGCAGGATTGAAGTGAGCACTGGCCCCTGCCTGAAAGTTTCAGAGAGATTTTCTTCTCCCTGAATGCCCACAGAGGAAGCTGCCAGACAAGCCAATGGTAGGCAGCAAAGAATCGTTGCTATTCCAGCTCTGTCAGGAGGAAGTGGCACAAATCCCTTGTCTGTCCTCCTTTTAAAGGGGAAAAGGGATCATAAATAGACTCTTTAATAGAGCAGATGTTGTCCTGCATAATGAACTCGCAGCTTCCAGCTGATGCAGTGCATCTGCTGAGGTAAAATGCATGAAGTCACTTCTGTTTGTTTGTTTTTAAGAAGTGCTGCACTCCTGAGCTGCAGTAAACTGAGTTCATGTGGGCTGTGGGATCTCTTTCCTTGGTTGTGCAGTGGGTGTAGTACATCTCAGCTGCTGCTTAGTGGACTCCAAATCTCCCAATCCTTAATGCTTCTAAAGCACCCTGTTTGTTATTACTACACGCTTAGAAACTGAACGTGTACCAAAAATTGTTTTTTTCTCAATGTATAAAGAGAAACTGGAAGACTGTTTGGTTCTTTTGCACATATCTGTGGCTTGAAGATCTGGCAGCACTCAACTTGTATGCAGTAACTCCCATGGGCATGTGAGCCTGCAGTCCTGGCTAATGTTGCAAAGCTATTTCCAATTTTTAACAGAAAGTAGTTTGTATGTTTCTTATTTCTGTGGAAGTGGAATGGTTATCGTGATTGCTTTATTTTCTGTTTTTAACTCTTATGAAATCACTAAAATGGCAAAATTCCCCTAATTAGTTAAGTACTGAGGCAGCAAGTGAGTCAATAAGGAGAATGGGGCCAAGGGGGGGAAAACACAGATGAAGTTGCTCAGGGTGGGTGGTATAATAGCAGTAAACATAATTATACACCAGAAATGGAGCACTTGAAACGTGATTATTTTTTTTCCCCAAGAAAATGCTTCTCTCCTACTAATGTGTTCATAATGATGTCAGTCAGCTCTGTGAGATGCTTATTAGCAGCAAGGATGTGACTAAGTGCTCAGACTGGGTAGGCTGGTTGTTATACACAAAACCCTTCAGGAGGATGCAAGTATTAGGCTCTAAGGAAGCTTGTGTTACATGCAGGATTATGTTCCTTATCAGAATAACATCTTCCAACTGTGCTTTTGGTTTTGTGGCCTCTGACTTCCGTGGTAGTTCAGTGCAGCATTTGAAATTGCAAAGAATCAAATGCAATGAAGATGAGAAGTCCAAGCTTCTTGCTGTCGTTGCTGTGTGTGTTGATGTCTCATTGATTCATGTTCCAGCTGCATTTAGTACATTGGAATGCTGTGGTGTACCCAACTTTTGAAGAAGCTGTGATGGAAGGTGATGGCTTGGCTGTAATTGGAGTCTTTCTAAAGGTACTTCGGTATTACAAGTTCTAATGGTTTCGTTTTATTTTGGTAAAGCTCTTTTAGTGCAAAATACCTCTAGCTGGCTTTTTGTTTGTCTGAAAGCTGATAAGGTAGATAGGTGGGATGTTGGCTTAATATTCTCTCTTGGTCATCTTTTATAGCTAGGAGCACATCATGAAGGGCTGCAGACGTTGGTGGATGCCTTGCCAGCAATTAAACACAAGGTAAGTGTTTTTACATATCCCACCAGTTATCATTCAGCACAGCCAACAGTCATTCAACAGAAATAATGCTTTGGGCATAGTGAAGTTCTAATAAACATTAAGTGTCAGGAAGGGGTCTGATTGGCACATAGAGTAAATTATTGATTACACTGCAGATAAAATGCTGTATTTAAAGAAGGAGATTGTACACACTTCAAGCTTTCCAAATGATGAGGAAAAAGAAATGATGCTCTGGAGATTGTATCCCCTTGAAAGAGGGTAAAATACGTGTGCAGAAAATGAGTTTCTCCACAATGACTGCTATCTCACTTGCTGCAGTCTGTTCTTCCTTCACTCTTTGTGTCTGCTCAATGGCTGTTTCTGCCTCAAACCCACTTTAATGATCTTGGACAAGTTTGACATTTACAATTACTACTTCATGTAGATTCTTACTAATACAGCACGATTTTACATTTAGAAATGTACAGTATTTAATCTCACTGTTAAGATCTCTTTAAACATTGTCTTTTTTTTCCCCTCTCAAATTGCAAGTTTTAAAATGAGTTGTTTCTGGGTTTTAGGACACTGTTATTGAGTTTGATGTCTTCGACCCCTCCTGCCTGTTACCTCCATGCCCTGATTACTGGACATATGCAGGCTCTTTGACCACTCCCCCACTTACTGAATCAGTCACGTGGATTATTAAGAAGCAGCCAATAGAGGTTGATGAGAATCAGGTAAGTCTCTTGCTGATATTTAATACCACACGTTTGCCTGCCAGCTGCTGTGGAGGGAAAGAAGCACAGAAGCAGCTGCTTCACACCCAGTATTTGTTTTGGGGTATTCTGATCTTAACTTCAGGTAGTGCTGGAGGGCTGAAGACCTCAACAGTAAGCAGTTAAGGGTGTTTCTCCAGCTCCCCATATAGAGCTTCATTCTGATCTCTGGTAACAAAGCCTTGTGCTGGAAACCACAGCCTGAAAACTTAAAGGTTATTTACTAGAACACTGCATAATTTTTCTCTCTTTATCGTGCTGCTCTCCTTTCCATGAGAGGGAGGGAGGGAGAAGAAGGGGCAGTTCTTGTGACACTCTGAACTCTGACCTTTTGTGCATATACCTGATAGTGTGTTCACTTGCACAGAAATCTTGCAGAACCTGCAAGGGCTGTTCTTTCCCCTGCTCAGGCCCTGAGGGGGCAGAAGGGATGGTGGCTCTGAGTCCTTCACGTGCTGTTCTGATGGTTGAAGATAGAGTCCCCATTGGGTTTTCTCCTTTTGTAGACATATCTACTCACTACTTGGCTGTATTGTCCTTGAGGTTTTTTATTTTTAATTTCCTTTTAAAAGGACAAAGGTTTCAGTCAGGTGGTTGGCAGCCTGCTGACCCCAGCCCTGACTTATTTCATACTTTTTAGTGCTTCTTATTGCAGTACTTAGTTGCACAGTGTGATGTTACTCCTTGGTATGAAATAAATACAGGGAGAATTGAAAAATGGTCAGGAGAACAGATCAGAATTAGACAAAATACTGATTCTTAATAGAACTTCTGCATGCAGCTAGACCATCTGGGAGGCCGAACCTGAAGCAAATATTAATGGTGAAGAATAGGCATGTACACAATATTTTAGTTCATGTAAAGGAACAGAATGGGAAGAAAGCAAGGCAAAACGGTTGCATACTTTTTTTGCAGTTCAAACTTTTATACATTTTCTTGGTTCTTCACTCACTCTTCCATGGCACAGAAAGTCATAATTACTTAGCAATGTTATGCCCTTTGTGAGGACTGGGCTGCATCCTTCAGTCTGCACTTATAAACCATTGAGGAGAAAAGCCATGTAGATGGTTGCAGGTTGGGATTGCTTTCTTTCTTGAGTGTCAGTATATGAATGTCTGTATAAGAAAATAGAACTCCAGGAAGGGTTTGGAATTCCAGGAGCTAAACTGGCTGTTTCTCATTCTCAGCTGGAGGCATTTCGGATGCTGCTCTTTACTTCAGATGGTGAAGAAGAGAAGAGGATGGTGGACAACTTTCGCCCTCTTCAGCCATTAATGAATAGAACTGTCCGCTCATCCTTCCAGAGCAGGCATCTCTTAGATATTGAAGCACAATACTCGGACCATGCTCAGCAGATCAGGCCATAGATGGCCCATGTAACATCAGTCCAGATTGTAGTAACCGGGTTTACTTTTACTCTGTAATGATTCCTCCCTTTTTGCACAATGTTTATGCCATGCAGTTTCACAGACAGCTAGTTTCAGTTCTGAGAGTCAGTTGAGCTTCAGTAGAGGAGCTGTGTGTATTATAATTTTGGTTTTTTTTTAATACAAACTTTTAACAAATTGCTCACTCAGTAGCAGGGATTAATAAGGAATTCTTCTGAAAGTTAAAGGCAAAGTAATGCAGAAGCTCTTTGCTCTTTCTGTCTTCTGAATTGTTCTATGTCTCTTCATAACTCTCCAGTGATTTGCTTAAATTAATACTCCCAACATGTTAACAAGCAGGAGGTGTGAAGAAGTGAAGTCTATTAAGGTCCTTTATGGAACTGCTTTGGAGGTTTGAGGCTAGAACTGCCTTCTGCAGTCACATACATAGAGTTGTTTCAGCTTTGTTCTTTTTTAAAACAACAACAAATGGTGCATAGGACGATGAGAAGAAAAAGAAAAAAATGCCTGTGTGACCCATTTATAATGGATGACACAATGTCTGCCTTATCTATACTGCAAACCAGAAGACTTTGCAAAACCTTACAGAAATGCAGAATGGGATTTGTGGACAAATTTTGGTTTTGATACCTGATAGAATGGTGGATGAGTGTGGGCAAAGCACAGCAATCAGATACTTGATTATTTTTTTTTTTCCAGCAACTTCTAGAGCACCAGTGCAATCTTCCCAATGTTTTGTCTTAAGCTGAACTTCTATTCTTGAGAGTTACCCACCCTCATGGTTACTGGGACCGTGTTGTTCTATATAGCACCTTATGGTAACAAAGACCAGTGGTGGTTGGAACTCAGTTGTGGACCAGACTAAATTGTTTTAAGTTACCAGCTGTGGAGCCTTTTACTGAAGTTATGGCCCAGTTGCCACAAACAATGCCTACCTCTGAACTATGCTATTAGCCATAACTTTCTCTAGTGCACCTTTCTGAATGACTTTTTATGCTGTGTTGTACTTAACAGTGTGCATATGCACAAACTATAGTGAGTATAGTACACTGGTTGTGTACTCACGAAACAATCTTCATAGAATGGCTTGGGTTGGAAGGGACCTCAAGGATCACGAAGCTCCAACCCCCCTGCTGCATGCAGGGCTGCCAACCTCCATATCTAATACTAGACCAGGCTGCCCAATCTTGATTGTATTTCATGTATATTTTTAGAGGATGCATTTCTTGATCCTCTCCTGCCATTAAGCAGTCAGCAGTTGCTGGTGTCATTCAGGACTAATGAAGCCAGGAGACCAACTTGTCAGTGACAAATTCACATCTTTTGGAATCAATACTTTCCCATTCCAAATGTTCACTTTAAAAGCACTTTAACACTTTTCAGCGTGACTCTAATGATTTTAAAGCTTTTGAATATTTTTGCTTAACCAATTAAAACTTGTGCCTTTGCTTCCTCAATATCTCTACCTCAGACTTCTGTTACATTTCAGCAGTTGTGCCTTTCTCTGCTAATGTGGCTGCTTAATTTTAGGGTGACTACTCAGTAGATCTAAGAAAATCTCCATTGGCTTCTGCTCCTTGTGTGATGTATATACATCTTTATAATATGTTCTGAGTGGCAGTATGTATCTTCAGTCTTGAGCCCTTATAGCTCAGTTGAATTATACCATGCATGACTTTGCCAGATTTTATTACGTTTCTACTCTGCTGAGCCACTTCTGTTGTGGCTGTAATGGTTTTGCCAGAGGATGGCAGGTTCTGAAAATAACTTTGAAAGGGACTTTGCAAGTCTGGCAATAGGAAGAGATTTATTTTACTTTGTACCTGAGTTCATTGTTGAACTTGCTTTCATTATTAGCAATTAGGAAAAATCCTGTAATACAGTCATTGTAATGTTGTCTTTGCATTTAACAATGGAGGTGACTCAGTGGAACTAAGCTAGATAGAGGCAGCCTGCATCAACCATAATTAGAACTGCTGCCTTATAAATGTGGAAATGGATATGGCAAAAAGAACTGAAATAGGCTCTGTGAGATCAGGGAGAAGCCAATTGTTTGCTTTACTGATGGAGGAAAATTGTTAGAATTACAGAGGGAACAACTTGGCTTAATTTGGGTCAGTTTGAATTACAGCTGAAAAGAGCAATGGGAAACTAACCTCCTTACAAGCAGGTTAATGTAGTATCTCTGAATTGTATAAGCTCTGATTAGGAACTATCTTCTTGTGGTTATTAAAGTCCTTTAAAGCAAGCAAATTCTTGCTATCATAAGCGAATGGGTCTTTAGAAAAGCCTTATGCAATTGCTCAGAGTATTTTAGTTGCCTGCTTACTCTAAGGTTTTGTGTACCTCTGATCCACCAAGCTTATTTCACCAACTAATGTCTCTTCCTGGCATGTGCAAATACAAGATACACATTTTGTTCTTAGGGGTTACCATGGTGTTCATGTTTTATCTTCTACAGCATTTAAATATCCTGACATAAAATCTATTTCAGTTTCAGCACTGAGTTTATATATATAATATATACACGTGTGTAAACAGGGTCAGAAGAGGAAAAAATGAACTGGATTTTGCTAAAACAAGCTCTGCAGGGATTTGCTGTTAGAGTTGTGCTGCTTTCAAGATGCCTGCTACATTTCCATGTCAGTGTCTTAGCATCTCTGGTTCCAATGGACAGTATTCCAGTTGCAGGGCAGGCTCTGGTTAAAATTAACAGGCTGAAAATGAAAGTGGGTCTTTTGGGGTTTTTTTTAGTTTTTTTTTTGTTGTATTTTGTTGGGTTCTTGGCTAATTTAGTTAATGTCTGTAACGACTTTGCACAACTGACTTAAACTGTATTTGGAAGGTGTCTGCATAGGAATCTTTAGGCTCTTTTGGACAATACAGTAGAGAAGGGTCAGAACAGATGTTTGTCCTTGAACCTAATTGCTTCTGTTAATTAATACTGTTCTGAGAGACATTCCTGTGGCAGTCAGCACTATGAATGAAATGTTGTAGTGGAACTCATTCTGAGGACAGCTTAAAGAAGTGAGAGTAGAAGTTCTCAAGTGCATATTGTAATATATGTTGTGCCTAATGGTAATTTACTGAAATGATTGCCTTTGTACAACATACATATTGAAGTGCCTTTTGTACTCGTAGCATACAGACCTTTCATTTTGATGTAAAGAAACTTCTAGCTACTGTATTTTTCTAGCTGTTAAACTAGTGTGCAACCATGCAATAAAAAAGCACAGCAACCCGTGTCTGTATTTCATTGTGCAGTTAAGCTCTTCAAGTTAGAGGAGATTCTCTGTCAAGAAAATAATTCATCCTTCAGAACGACCCACTTCATTATGAGTGGAATATGATCAGATGTCAGACAGCCTTTGATGCTTCAGTCTGTGAAAGGCTCTGCTGGGCTGTATTGTAATTGGAATGAAAGGACAATGACCTCTGTGTTGCAGCTGAACTGATGGATGTCCAGTTATCTGCTCCATTGGGATAGAAGCAGCATACTGCCTACAAGGAGATTCCAGGTTTGAAGTTCCAAGCTGCCTTGTTTCATGCTTAGTGTTAAACTCAACCTAAAAACTGTCAGCTGAGTTCCTTTTTCCGTTGGGTAATTCATGTTGATAAAACAATGATTTGATGTGTGGTGCAGCTCTCAAGGAGTTTCACATGTAGTGATTTTTGCAGTGCTTCTGCTGTTAAGGTGGTATGAATCTTATTGAATAATTAGAGAAAAAAGCTTTAATTGAAATAAATTGCTTTTACCAATAACAGTTGGCTAATAACTAAACACAAATTCATCTAGTTGACCCATAGTAGCCAGGTTTAGGGCCTGGGTATCATATAGATATGTTGTGCTAAGCTGAGGTTATTCATGCTTCTTTTGGTGGAACAGTAGGAGACTATTTCTGGTAAGGGATTTGAGCCCAATGAATGGTTGCAGACCATAATTACCACTCTTTGGGGGCTTTTCAGAAAGGTAAGCCATTTCAGTGGGAAGAAAGGTTGAGAATAATACCAGTTCCAGCTCTACTGTTGCTGTTTAAGGATTCCAGAAGCTACCACCCATTCCACTTTGCCCAACAAAGAAGCTTAGGAGGTCTTATTGTGTTTGTGCATATAGATAAATTGTGTGTGTGTATAATATATAGTATAGCTGAGCTGTTTGCTGAAGAAATGGTTTATTTGATTCCAGTGGGCTCTTATTTTGATCAAGGCAGCTGCAAGACATGCATTAATTCTAACAAATGGCCAATTTACTTGTGATATTGGTAATTACTGTCTTGTGTGGTGTTTCTTTTTATGTGACAAAACTGAAGTGTCTGAACGTGTGGAGAAGTGGCTGTGTAATCAAACTGCCTTCAGAGGTGCTGCAGAACAACTCGGAGGCCTGAAGAGTTGGTGATCAGAGCTGATAATCACACGTAACCACCTGTGAAGTGCTTGGAGGGCAGAAGACACCCTATGAACACACCTGAACACTGCAACTGCAGAGCGGGTATTTTCCCAGCCCAAATGGAGAAACAGCTGCAGGATGAACTCAGGTTAGTTTGCAATACAGCCATCTATGCGGGTGACTTCAGGTGGGGCAGTGGTGCTGTGCTCAGCTGCTTTTTGAGCCCAGGGTTTCCAAATGGCAGCGGTGTCAAAACTGAGCTTGAGGTCTGCAAATTCTTAGTGGTCGTTCTGCTTAGAAGTTGCTTTTTGGACGGGCTGGGTGCAGGAAGGGAAAGATGGTCCCGTTCCTTTGAAAACTAGTAGAAATTGATGCTTTCTTCCTCAATACGGATGCTCATAGGAGCTGAACAAGGCAGTTTGAGGTCTGAGTGTTGCTGTGGCTCACAACCACTAGGTGTCACGTTCTGACAAGCTCTCCCAAAGCTGCTGGATGGAGCCCGGCTTTCCTCCGCTGCCTCAAGGGAGTTCCAATGTCATTGTCCAGTGCGAGCGACCTGAAAAATGCGACTCAAATGTTACAGCTTGCCCCCAAAACGTAGACCTGACTTTTCTCGAAGGTATCTTCTAGAACCCCCCTGACCCACCCCAATGCCTGGAGCTGGTTGGACCTGCCTGGAGGAGCGTGGTCTGGGGAGGAAGGATACTGAGCCTTGGTTTTGGAGCCTGGACATGACTTCATGTGTGATGCCTGCTACCTTGCAGCTGGGACACAGCTCCTCCGAGGTACTGCTTCCCACTCACAGTGAGGATGCTCATTGCTAAATGTGGGCTCCTGGGTGCTAAACTCCTCTCCTATCCTGCACAGACATGAATTTGTTACAGGATTGGCTCCTCTGGCTTTGCTAAGTTGCCAAGTAAGTCTCCTTGGATGCAGATCCTGTGCCTTTGCTGAGGCAGTGTGATTGGAGCTGCTTGTTCTGCCTGTGTGCTTGCCAGGCTGGCAGGAATTGTGAGTTTATCTTTCCAGTGCAAGAAGTGAGGGCAGATTTCAGCAGTGCCTCTGCAGAAAGGGCTGGAACATGGCCTGTATTTGAGTGTCAAATGTGGTATGTAGAAGCACAGTGAGCACAATTACAGAATGGCCAGGGTTGGAAGGGACCTCGAGGATCACGAATCTCCAACCCACACCCAGGGCCACCAACCTCCCCATTTAATAGCAGCCCAGGGCCCCATCCAGCCTGGCCCTGAACGCCTGCAGGGATGGACGGGGCATCCACAGCCTCCTTGAGCAGCTGTCCCAGCACCTCACCGCTCTCTCTCTATAAAGAACTTCCAGCACCCTGAGATCAGATGAGGCTGCGGGATTTGGGTGATGTGGGCTTTGCAGGATTGGTTCCCTCTTCCTCCTCCGCCATGTTCTGCTGTGTAAGAACCCAGCCTGAGTCGGGTAACACAACTCCCCGCCTGGGCGGTTGCCCTGCGGGCTTCGAAGAGCCAACAGCGGAGCCGGAGGCCGAGCGGAGGCGCCGGCTCGCTTTCCCCATCGCCCACCTTAGGGCGGAGGGTGCGGAGCTCGGCGCTTTCCCGAGGCAGCGCCACGCGGGGCCGCAACCGCCTCCCCCTCCTCCTCCTCCTCCCTCCTCGTCCTCCCCCCGCGAGGAGCCCGGCCCCTCCGCGGGCATCTCCCCGCCTCACCGGGAGGCGCTCCCCGCACGCCGCCCACCGCCGACGGAACAAAAGGGGCGGCTGCATGGTGGCAGCCGAGCGCCCGGCTGCGCCCGCCCCGCTCCGCGCCCCGCCACGATGTCGGGCAGCGGCGGCGGCAGCAGCGCGGTGAAAAAGAGGAGCCCGGCGGGCTCGGCCTCCTCCATGGCGCAGGAGGAGGAGAAGCAGGCGATGGAGAAGATGCTGGATGCGGCTGGAGGGGCTCAGGAGAACGGCTGCGCCCGCACGCCTTCTCCCACCGCCGCTCCCGCTGAAGGCGAGGGGGTGGCCTTGCAGCGCTCCATCACGCTGATCAACGGCGTGGCCATCATCGTGGGGACCATCATCGGCTCCGGCATCTTCGTCACCCCTACCGGGGTGCTGCGGGAGGCCGGCTCGCCGGGGCTGTCGTTGGTGGTGTGGGCCGTCTGCGGGGCCTTCTCCATCGTGGGCGCTCTGTGCTACGCCGAGCTGGGCACCACCATCACCAAGTCCGGCGGGGACTATGCCTACATGCTGGAGGTGTACGGCTCCCTGCCCGCCTTCCTCAAGCTCTGGATAGAGCTGCTCATCATCCGACCCTCCTCGCAGTACATCGTAGCTCTGGTCTTCGCCACCTACCTGCTGAAGCCCATCTTCCCCACCTGCCCGGTGCCTGACGAGGCTGCTAAGCTGGTAGCCTGCCTCTGTGTCCGTAAGTAGCCCCGCATTCTCCTCTGTTCCCGCAGGCTCCCGCTGCCCCACGTGGCTCCTGCCTACCATCTTTTGCCTTCCCCAACCCGCCCGTGCCGGCGGCTGCTCCCTTTTCTCCGTTGCCGTGCAGTGCAGGCTGATTTCTTTAATTGATTTCTTTTTGGAACAGAGTAGAAGACCCCATCCCCGATAATCCAAGCGAGAAAATAAGTCCCCATCTGGCATTCTGGGCTGGGGAACCCGGAGGATTGTCAGAACCGCAGCAGAGCGGCGTGCTGTAAATGCAACGTGTTTGTGCACTGCAGTGGGATTTCTATGGCCCCACGGCAGCGCAGGGCTGGGGACTGCCATTCATGGGGCTCTGCTGGCAGCCCTGTGTCTGTCACAGCTGATGTCCATCACGGGCAGCACCAGCAGCCGGTGCTGAATGCGGTGCTGCACTGCCCAGCTGTTTTCAGCACTGCTCTGCTTCCATGCTTGAGAAGTAGGCTTTGGGTTTGTAGTTTTTAGGTATTATTTTTATTATTTTTTTGGCCATGTTTTGGCTAGCAGATGTTATTTCTCGCGATGCTTGCTTCTCCAAGGAGTTCAGCGTGCCACGATGCATTTTTGGGCCATCAGTGTCTCTGCTATGGCAGATGCTGCTGTAGTCCTCCCTCGTCTTTTCTCTGCTTTTTGAGCTCTGGTGCTGTCAGTGGAGCCTCATTTTTCTTTCCTCTGTGACTGCAGAGTCACCCCATCCAGATTCCCCATTCTGTAAATACAGGAGAGTTTTCTGCCTTTCTTTCCTTATTTCCTAGTCCATCAGCATCCCATTCTATTGATAGTTCCTGTGCCATTGTAAAGATGTGCGTTCCCATAAGATGCTTCCTTTTGGTGAGGGCTTTATAAAGCATTTATTTGGTGCCTGGAGTTGCATGCTTTGTAGCTCTGGGGCTGTGGGGAAGGCTCTGTCTGTGCCATCCAGGGGGAGGCTGTGTTAGATTCTTTCACCTCTGGAGATTGCAGGCATTCACAAGTTGCAATCATTGTGGGATGTTTTATTATCTGTAAACGTCTTTGCACGCAAACTGACCGAGTCTTTGATGCATACTTGATATTCCTTGCTAGCAGATAAAATAAGAAACAGGCAGGGCAGCAGACTGTGTGCGTTTTTGGGGGCAAGACTGAAACTTACTCCCTGGATCAATTTTCATCACGTCAAGGCAAGTGGACAGATGTTTGGGCTTTCCTTCCAAGCCATTAACAAAATGGAGTGTGTCTGTTAACAAAGATGTAGCCTCCCATCTAATAAAGATGCAGCAGGCTTAGAAAACAGCTCTGCTGGTTGGTTTCTTGCACCTTGGGATAAAATCTGCTTTTACATCTTTCTTGATTGTATGCAACACTTTCTTCACTGACACACAGAAGGATGTGCACGCACTTGGTGTTCACCTGATTTATTTGCTGAGAAGCCAACAGCATCAGGGAGCTGATTGCATAGAACTTCTTACTGTTTTATGTCCAAGTTGTGCAGTGCGAGGCCATGCTGAGTTGATAAAATCTTTGTGTCTTTACCAATACCTGACTTTTCACCTGCAGGAGCTTTGCTGGAAGACCTGGGCTCAGGTGTTTCTGTTCCCATTTTGCTGATCAGAAAATAGATACGGGGGTAACCTGCCCATGGCAAGATGTCTTCATCCATGGGATGGATTTCATCATGAATCTTGACGCCAGGTCTCCCTCCTGCTTTTGCTTCTCTGATAAGTACTATCAGTGTCTGCAATATCCTCATGCTAGCAATTAGTTTTCCTGCAGCAGAGTTTGTTCTTGAACCTTTACACTGAAAGAATAAGGGTAGAGTTGCTAGTACTATAAATGTGCATCATTTTCATGTATTTTTTTCTTTAAACCTTCCTCCTCACAACCCCTGGTTAGCATTCTGTTCGTGCTTTGGGTTAAATCTGTCTCCATTGCTTTGCAAGGTTAGTTCATTGTGCAAGTCAGATCTCTATAACTTTGTTTTCTGGAGTTAGCTTTCCTGCTGCCAAAACCACATCTTGAGATGGGAACAACAAACAAAGTAAATCTGGTCCAAGGGCTGAGGGAGTTACACAAAGCTTTGATGCGCTTTCAAGGCACTTTGTTACGGGGTTGTTCCAAACACCCACAGCCAGTGACTCTGTGTTTCTTTTTCCAGGAGCTCTGGGGTAGAAAAAGTGACCCATTGGGGGCATTACTCTACAGCATTATGTTAGTCAGAGGGGGAGTTGGGTTGTCTCAAAGGGGGGAAGAGTGATTTGGGAAGAAACAAGGGAATCTGGGCCCTGCACAGTTGACTTACTACGCAGCCAACACTCAACCTCCAGAAGAGCATCAGCTGTATTCTTTGCAAAGCTTGTGTCTCAACATAAAGTGCAATTGAGTGTATGGTTACTTAAGAGGAGAAATACAAAATGAATTGTTTTGACTGCACGTGTTACTGGTGTTGAAGAGTTGAATGAGTTACACCCCACCGACACCTGAAAAACAAATTGAATTCCTGGGCATTACAGTGGTCTGAATAAATCACGGTTTTGAAAGAAAGAAAACATAGTTGGAATAGGGAGCTTGGTTCCTCCTGAAGTACTGAAGAAAACAAAGTGGGTGGTAAGCAGATTTTTAACTTCAAATAGATGCTTTCTGCAATCAGGGTTGTAATCTGCAGTTGGTATGCAGGAGTTACTCCACAAGATGTTATGAATTCTCATTAAGGTTGTCAAACAAGCCGAGAATCCATGAGAAGAAAGTCTTCCTGTAGTAAGATGGGTCAAGCTGTTCATCATTAATTTGGGTTATTTTACATTAGTTGCACAACAGCTCGTGCTCCTTAGTTGTAAGGATCTGTGGGTGGTGGGTTTCAGGCACTGGGTTACTTAAGTAGCTTGTGGCCATATCAACTGCATGTCAGTTAGTGTGGGAGATTGGATGTCTGATGCTCCTAGGGCTGTGAAATCATGAATGTTACCCCTTTTACAGAGGGTGGAGGAATGGTTACTGAGTCCTGACTTCTCATAGTTGATGACATCTATGTTATAGTATCACTATTCTGATGCTATTATATATATATATTACATACATACATTATATATATATATGTATATATATACACTATTCTGACCAGCTAAGGAGCTCCATGTGCCATCAGGTGTGCATGTGGTTAAATGAGGATCCGTTATATTTATTTGGTGGTTCCTCTGCTGAAGGAGTGTCCAGGTAATAGTCTGGATAATGGTGTGGAACAGCATCCTTGTGAATGCACATCTCTGGTATCTTACGGTGTTTGTGGCTCAGATTTGTGTTTACAATTGGCTGCACTCGTTAAGTTTCATAGATTTGAGCTGATGATTCTTAAGAAAAAAATCATTAAAAGCTACAGGGCACAGCCTGGGATGCAGTACAAAGATAACGTGTATTTTGTATTTCCAGCTGTTAATATAAAGGTTTCCTACATCTGATAGGTCTCCAAAGTGTCATGCATTAAATTCCCTGTAGAGGAGGGAGATGGGATAATGGTACTTCCAGGCATGAACTGGTTTCTGACTGGTGTTTCACATGTCCTAAGCTGTTCTCCCTGCATACGTCCTCACACCCAGCCTGCCTCCCACCCAAGTGCTGCATAACAGGTTATTCTGTAATTCACTTATTTCTTGGCAATGTCATCTGCTCCCCGGAAGCTTGAGGAAGCTGCCAGTTGCATCTAATTTTACCCTTCAGTATCAAATGGCTGATTTGACTGTTAGCTTCTGAAACCCTCCATTGCTTGTCAATTATATATGCTAATCTGGCACTAAGAGCCCAACATTACTGCAGCAGTATCTGCTTCTGCCAAAGCTACGATGTTTTAATCTTCTTTCCAAGTTCTTTAGACCTCCTTTGCTGCTTCTAAAACATTTTGGATAGTGCTGCAAGCGTGGGATTCCAGGAACATCATCACACATTCATCTCTTCTGCTATGAACAACCTAAGAAGAATTAGGAG